TCCTCATGATAGCCTTATTTTAAGTAGGTCTTATTCTACCCATTTTACAGATGAAGCTGAGACTTAGAAGGATAAGCAAAATTCCCCAAGGTCACACAATAAGTAAGGGGTAGTATTGGGCATTCATGTGTTCAAAACCTTTTCAATCCTTCGTCGTCTTCTATGACATTTTTTTGCCTTTTTCCTTTTATCCTGTATTCCTGTTGTTCATTTTTAAAATTTGGGACATTTTCGGTCATTTTTCTTTCAACTGTTTTTTCTGAAGTTTCCTCCTTCCACACTCTCTCTGGGACTCTGATGACATGAACATCAGACCTTTCGATATTCTTCCATAGGAAAAAGGGGTTCTGCCTTTCCTATCCCCTCCAAATCTTTTTTCTCTGTTGTTCAGACTGGATAATTTCTATTGATTGTCTTCAAATGTACTCACTCTTTCTTCTGTTATCTGAGGCCTGCTATTCTGTCTATCTGGAGGGCTTTTTATTTTGGTGTTTGTATTTTTCAGTTCTAAAATTTCCATTTGGTTCTTTTATATTTTCTACTTCTTTGCTGAATCTTTCTATCTTCCCATTCATTTCAAGACTGCTTGCCTTTACTTCTTGGAGCATTTCTATAATCACTACTTAAAAGTTACAATTCCAAAATCCGTGTCATTTCAGCAGGGGCATCTGTCGCTTAGCTTTTCTTATGTGAGATGACATTTACCTGTACGACGAGTAATTTTGGATTGTACCTTTGACATTCTAAATGTATGTAATGAGACCTGGAATCATGCGAAGATCCTATGGGGAATTTTGATATTTTTGTTTTAACAGGCAATTGACCTGATTGGGGTCAGTCCACAAGTTCCAACCCGCCTTCTGTGGATCGTAGTTCCAACAACAGTTCAGTTTTCAGTGTCTTTGCAGGGCTATTCAGATCTGTGCCCTGTGTGTGCCATCCAGTGACCAGTAAGGGACCAGCATGATGTCAGTCCACAGGTCTGTTCTCATAGTCCAATAACCTGTTTAGGATGCAGGTCCAAGTGAGCCCAGGAGTGAGCCCAGGGGTTCATAAACTATCTGATGGGGTTGATTTCCTGAGCTGTTCTACCTCCATGATCTTCTTGATACGTTTTCATTCCCGGGCACTTCCCTTTCAATCTGGGTGTTTAGTCTCCCCCCACCCCCTGGCTGTGTACTTCCCACAACACAGAGTATTCCCAAACGTGAAATACACACTCAATATGATAAGGCCAATTTAAGTGCCGTGTCTCCCAGACTCAGCCCCACACCCAGACCAGTGACAGTTTGCAGGGGGATGCCTTGAGCTGATTAGCTCACACCAGTTAGGATGTTCCTCAGGGGCTGAGGATGGGCTGGACATCTGACAAAATCAAGGTGCTGTGAAGAACAGGGACATGGCTGCTGGGGAGACAACGAACAGTGTCTATACACTGCTTCTTTCCTCCTTTTCTTCCCTAAACCACTAAATGTTACCATCACCCTCCTAATCACTCAGGCTTTTAAAACCTCTGTGTTTTCTTCACCTCTGTGCTTCCCCTTTCCGACCCCTGTGAACATCCAGTCGGTGCTCAGCCTAAAGATGCCTCTTCAACAGGGACTCTCTCTTTGATGTTCTCTGTCTAGCCAATTTTAAAGCTTCCTCTTATTTCCTTGCCCTCAGATTTCTCCTCTCCATAGTCAGCTTCCTTAGCATTGTGATCAAGCCTCCCCCCCCATCTGCCCTCTGCCTTTCCAGAAGTATCAGTTTTGCATGCCCCTGGGGTCACCAGACACCCGCCTCTACCGCATCTGCTACATTTGACTGAATGTCAGTCCTTAAACATACACTGCAGTTTCTGCCTTTTGTGCCAGCTGTGTCTTCCCAAAAGACCCTTTTAACCCAATCACATTAGCCAAGGCTCAGTGAACACGCCATGTTCTCCCTGAAGGCTCAGTGACCTTACCAAGGTAGAATCTGTCTCTTTCCCCTTAGGTTTTAGGACATCTCTACTGTAGCTCTTGATCACATTTGCCCTGAGTTCTACTATTATCTCCTTCATCAGGGCATGAGCTACTTAAGATGCAAGACCATCTCTGATTCTCTTTTGTAGTCCCCAACGTATCTGGCCCAGTACCTCAGACGCAGTAGATACTCAAGATACGGTTGTTTCATTAGATTCAATTAAATGGGCTTGAATCTTTAGCCTCTACTGTAACATTCTTGGGATCAATGCAGTCCAGAAAAATTATCCTCCTTCTAATGGACTTCTGTAGGTATCTTGCTCAGAAAGGAATTTAATAAGAGAAATTATTCTCTCCCCAACATAGCCTGGGCACTCACCTCTATGCCACTGTAGTTCCTTACAGTACTCCTCATTTTATATCATTAATCATTGTTTAATTATTTGGTCGGTATCTCTCCTGCCCCAAACTTTGACATCATTCTTTGAGGGCAGAAACTGATAATTATTCTTCTCCACTGTATGACTAACACCTACCACAATTTCAGGTTTGCTGAAAGCACTCACAAATACTTATTCCTTGAATGGAGTTCAATAATTAAGAGCTTCTGAGGAGAAATAAACAGAGGTTTAAATCTGTTATACAGCACTGCAAATTGCAGTGATAAGAAATAAACTCAGAAGTCTAGAAGCAACTGAACAACAGAAAATAAGAAACACCATAAAATATAATCTGTCCTTATCAACACAATCTCAACTTATCCTTCTCCCATTCTCTTCACTCTTTCTTAACTTCCCAAATTCTTTCATTCTTTCTTTTCCTCCTTTGTTCATACATGGGGATGGGGTTGCCAATTGTCTCCTTGTTTCCAGTCTCATCTTCTTACATGTGATTTAGAGTTTTTAGCTTGTCTTATGGCTGCCTAGATAAAGTTGATATTTCTTTGCCCCGTCCCTTGCAGCTTAGTGTGGTCATGTGACTAAGTTCTGGCCAGTGGAATGAAAATAGAATGATGTATGCAACTTTGGGGTCATACCCTTGAGGGAAAGAAGTATGCTCTCCCTTTCCACTTATCCCCTTCCCAACAGCTAAAATGCAAGTGTGATGTCTGGAGCTACAGCAGCCACATTGACCCACAAGGTGGAAGCTACATGTTAGGGTAGAGCAAGAAGATGAAAGTAGCTTGGATCCCTAGCCCCATGTAGTTACCAAACCCACCTTGGCTATCCACCCACATTGTTAAGAAAGTGAGCTAGAGAAATGCCTACCTTATTTAAGCTGCTGCTACCTTTGTCTTTAAAATAACATCAGTATTTACATCCTTAATAATACAATGCATGGCCATCTTTATGACCATTTTTCCCAACAGAAAAAAAAGGGGGGGGAAATGAAGGTACTTTTTGAAAAAATCCTGCACCTATAGACCAAAATTCTTGGCTATTTACCTTGTGACAATACTTCTTTCATCTGGAACCTATCTCCAGAAGAGAATGGTATGAGCTATAGGTGCAAGATGTCTCATTCTCAAAGGATAATGTGTGTTACCACAGGGGAATTAATGCAAGCATAAGACACTTTGCAAGAAACAACCCATGTCCATCAATAGATGAATGCATAAAGATGCAGTACACACACACACACACAATGGATTTCTCAGCCATAAAAAAGAATGAGATCTTGCCATTCATGACAACATGGATGGACATAGACGGTATCATGCTAAGTGAAATAAGTCAGACAAAGACAAAGACCATATGATTTCACTTACACGTTGAACCTAAAAAACAAAATGGACAAAAAGCAGAAATAGACCCATAAATACAGAGAACAAATTGATGGTTGCCAGAGGGGAGGAGGACTGGGGGATAGGCAAAATGGACAAAGGGGAGTGGGAGGTACAGACTTCCTGTTATAGCATGAACAAGCCATGGGGATAAAAGGCATAGGAAATATAGTCAATAGTACTATAACAGTGTTGTATGGTGAGCATAGTATAACATGGAGACTTGTTGAATCACTATATTATATACATGAAACTAATGTAATATTGTGTGTCAACTAATCTTCAAAAAAAATAAATTAAAATATTGATAGCTTTTAAAAAAAGACATTTTTGGGGTTTCCTGGGTGGCTCTGTTGGTTAAGCATCTGCCTTTGGCTCAGGTCATGATCCCAGGGTCCTGGGATTGAGCCCCGCATCGGGCTCCATGCTCAGTGGGGAGCTTGCTTTTCCCTCTCCTCAGCCCCTCTCCCTTGCTTATACACGCTCTCTCTTTTTCTCTCAAATAAATAAATAAAATCTCTAAAAAATAATAATAATAAAATATAAAAAAAGACGTTTTCCAAAATTTTATAACATGCTCTATATCTTGAAAACATATAGATGCTTGCTATCTTGTGATATTTCTATTAAAAAATAAAGTTGACCTTTCAGTATCTAAATGAGAAAAGAAAAGTTGTGATTGAATGTCTACTGAGAATCGTTTTGGTTTTAAGTAAAGGGTTAGAAGTCTGTCCCCATTTGGACTTTTGGGGCCAGAGGGAAAAAATCCAGCAATAGCATTACCCATTATTATTTAATGTTACTTTGAGTAGACAGCAAAAGAGGTTCTATTGAAAAAGTCTTCTGAATTATGTTTGTCTCTCAGGGTTCTGAATCTTTCATTCACTTCCCCCAAAAAAGAACTAAATACTTACTTTAAGGTCTGAAAAAAGCAAGGGAAATTATTGGCCAAGGATCCCCCTAAAACACTTAGGGTGAGTACTGAGATACTGCGCATTTCATTAATTTAGGGGCTGAGAACTGTGATTGCTTACTAATATTTATGCAACTTCTCAAACTTATTAATGATAATAACTTCATATTTTGTATTTAAAAGAAACAGTAGACTCTTAGCATTCTTAGATTTAACCTCCTGGTTTTTATCCATGAAAAACTTGGGATGTGTATAATATGACATGATCTTATATTTTGCTGCATTTCACAGAGGAAATCATGCCCTTGAATGATCCATTTGACAGGTTCACAAAGGTCTATGAATGTCAGGATCTCACCTTCAGAATTATGACTATCCTCTCTTCAGCAGGAGGCTTGCCTGGTTCGATGGACCTTGTTCATCAGAAATCTGGAGTGCTTCCTTCTATAGATCCTAGAGTTTACAGTGCCTGAAAGACCAAGAGAAGAGACCATCTCCTTTCAAAACCCTTTTGTTAGTCATTAATAATAGAGAGAGGCAAGTGTTAGTTACTGATCCCTTTTCTCTACAAATTATTCTCTTGCTAAAGGGACAGAGAAAATATTACTAGTAGATGTGCAGTTTGGAAGGAAGACTCAATCAAGAGATCTCAAATGAGTGAGGCCCTTCTCAGTGGCTTCCTGGATTAGAAGCTCTGATGCATTCATTGCTCTATTCAAGAACCTAGCACAAGGTCAGGCGCACAGGAGGTGCTCAACAAATATTTGTTGAATGAATAAATAGATTCTATGGATAATTCAAGGAAACATAAGAAATATTCCTGCCCTTAAAGAGTTTACCAGTTATACCGACATAATACATAAATAAAAAGAAACCAATTTTCTAAGAAGCTAAGAACTGGTACTGATTTTAAGTACTGTAGCTTTGCTGGAAGGTAGTTCTCTAAGGCTTAGATGAAAAAGTTGAAGGTGAGATGAGCCTTAAGAGAAGGGTAGGTACAGGGGAAGGAATTCCAGAGAGAAAGATGGGCATGAATATGTAAGGTAGAGCCAAACACACTGGGCAGATACGATGGCAGAAGACGGTTGGGGTTGAGGATGAGGTTAGAAAAAGAAGCAGAGGCTCTGTGTGGAAGGCCTGAGCCAGCCAGCCTGAGCCAGCCAGACTTTTCTATGGGTCACAGGAAGCCCTTGTGGTTTGCTCCCCTGGAGGAGAGAGCCAGGCGGGGGCAGGAAGACCAACTGCTCTCTAGTCCGCATGTCCAGGTAAGAGTCTAACTTAAGGCAGTGGCAGGAGCAATGGAGAGAGGAATGAGATCGGGAAGCACAGTGAACCACCCCTGTAGGATCCGTGAGATAAAGCTGCAACACTTTTCACTGGAATCACAGGAAGCGAGTCAGTTCACTGTGGGCTGCTTTGACATAAGATGCACTAGAATAAATTCTAAAGTAGAAAAAACTTTTCACTTATAAAACAGTTCTATTAGCTTGGCTTAAAACATTTTTTCAGAAATATTCAAGTTCATTTATTTTTAAAAATACACAAGAGTAGGGGCGCCTGGGTGGCTCAGTCATTAAGCATCTGCCCTCGGCTCAGGTCATGATCCCGGGGTTCTGGGATCGAGCCCCGCTTCGGGCTCCCCGCTCGGCAGGAAGCCTGCTTCTCCCTCTCTCACTCCCCCTGCTTGTGTTCCCTCTCTTGCTGTGTCTCTCTGTCAAATAAATAAATAAAACCCTAAAAATATATATATAAATATAAAAAAATAAAAATGCACAAGAGTATACAGAAACAAGTAAAAACTACCCCAAATCCCACTCCCATCCACCAAGATTACTGTTATTATTTTGGTGAATACCTTTCCACACGTTCTTGTATGCACAGATATATACAAAGTATGATAGAATTTTATTAATGTGTTCCATATGTGTTGTTCCACAATCAATTTTCCTCAGCCCCTAATATGTTGTAAACATTTTTCCATGTTGATAAACATTGACCTACATATCATAATGTCAGTCTGCCTATATCACAATGTTCCATTAATGGATATTTAGATTCTCTCTCTGTGTGTGATACCATAAACAATCCTGTGATTAACCTTATTATGCATATAATTTCCCATCTGTATAATTATCTCCAAAATCTAAGAGGTTTTGGTTAGGTCAAAAGCATATATAATTTTATGTTTTGATACCTATTTCCAAACTGCCCTCCAAAAAGTACATCCCTTCATTCATTTACTCAATAACTATTTCTTGAACACCTACTCTGGACCAAGCACTATTCTATATGCTGAGAATAGGACAGTGATTAAAATGGACAAAGTCCCTGCCCTCAGGGACTGTACATTCTAATGCAGAACAACAGACACTAAACAAACAACTAACAGGTAACATATTGTCAAGTAGTGGCAACTGCTAGGAAAGCAAAATAAAACAGTAGCAGGCTGGAGAGTCACAGAGTGGACAGAGGAAAAAGTGCATTTTACACAAAGTCGTGAGGAAGCAACGATGAGGAAGAGACATGTGATCGGACCTGTGAAGATAGCCGAGGGTAACAGTGGTGCAGAGAGAAGAAACAGGAAGTGCAAAAACCCTGCCGTGAGAACCTGCCCAGCATGTTCCAGAAAGGCAGTGACTCCTGAGAGTCGCAGGAAATGTGGGTGGATAGGGAGCCAGGTCAGACCTGAGAATGCACACTAGGAGCAGTGTCCGTGAGGGGCTTCGCAGCCATTCGTAGAGGTGTTTGGATCCATTATATCGGCCAAAGGGATCTGAGATTCTAGTCTGAGAATAGTAAAAGAGAAGGGAGAAAGATGGGACCAGATCTGCTTTTGTGTTTTGCCCCTTCTCGGTCTCCTATTCATTAGACACTCTGCTGAGCATGGAGCCTGACGTGGGGCTCGATCTCATGACCCTGAGATCATGACCTGAGCCAAAACCAAGAGCTGGACACTTAACCGACTGAGCCACCCAGGCGCGCCAAGACCTGTCATCTTAATAAAAACTCAGGCACATGGGCTCATGATAGCTGATTTATATTAATTTTCCCCAAGCCATCTAACACAGAATCTTTAACACAGAAGGTGGTATAAATATAAATATTTGCTGGATAAACAAAAGAATGTATTGACAAATCTTCTCTAAAAGTACCTTTACTTTGTAGGTGCTCTTCTATTGTTTTGATTAGCGTCAATTTCAGAGGCTACCTTTTGACTCTCTTCTCCAATTCTGAAGCTCTTTGAGGACAGCTCCCTGAGCCCTGCCTTGGCATCTTCTTACATCTGCGGGGAAGGTCTGAGGAATTTAAATGTGACCAAAGAGAGCAGTATTTAAGACACAGGTTTGAGTAAACCCAGGGCTTCACTCTGCCCCAACATATCTGCCTGAGATCACAATTTCTTCTACAGTGATACTTTAGAAGTCACACAGAAAAAAAAAAATACTAAATAAGAGCAAAAGAAATTTAAAAAAAATTAACTTCAGGAGAAAACGTGATTTGCTGACAATGAAAATTGCAATGTTGGTTAATTTACTGTTCTTCAAACAAAATTAATAATAATATTTTCTTCTGGTTATAAAAGTAATTCATACTCATTGTAGAAAAATGTTTCAATACTGAAAAGCATAAGGTAGAAAATAAAAATTACACAATAACCCATTATCCAGGGACAGCCACTATTGAAATTTAAACATAATTTTGATCCTACTGTACACACATAGTCTTGTATCTTTCTTTTTCCCCTGACAACAAATTCTGAACATTTTCCCAATAACATGTGTTTTTTTTTTTTTTTAAGGATTTATTTATTTATTTGAGAGAGCACGTGGAGGGCGGGGCTGAGGGAGAGAATCCAAGCAGACTCCGCACAGAGCAGGGAGCCTGACGCGGTTCGATCCCACAACCCATGAGATCAAAACCTGAGCTGAAACCAAGAGTCAGATGCCCAACTGACTAAGCCACCCAGGCGCCCCCTAATAACATGTTTTTAATATTAGTAAAAGATATGTAATGTTCCAACTATGCCTTTGCCATAATTTATATTATGTGCCTATTATGGACAATTATTTTCAACCTATATTATAAACTCTTACAGTGTTGCAGTGAACATTCTTGTACATGATCGCTGAACAAATCTCTAATCAATGCCTGAAGTAGAGCCCAGAAGTGTAACTGTTTGGCCAAAATATACAATGTTTTTAAAGTCTTTTGTTAAGTGTTTCAGAAGTTCTTTCCAGAAAGGTCGTATTAATTTACACTTCCTTCCTACTACCCTCAACCACCCCTGTCACCCCATTATAGGCTAAGAGACTGGCAAAGATGTGCTGGGTTCAAATCCCAGCCCCACTCTCTTAGGAAAGTTATTTAACCTCATGAAAGCTCAATTTCCTCATCTGTAAAGTGGGGATAGTAACGGGGTATCCAGCTCATAGGCTGTTATAAAGATTAAATGAAATGGTAACATAAAATTGCCTATTATAGTCCCTGGCACATAACATGCAGTCAATAAGTATTATCAACTGGTACCAGTAACCAGTAAAATCACTCCACCCGATTCACTCCTAGCCAGCGTAATATTTGGGTGCAAAATCCCCTAACACAGTCAGGAAAAGTACCAAGCTTCCCTATTTAATAAAACTGTTTATAGCTGAAGTCACGCAATTATTGTATCCACACACAAAGCCTCGGTATTCTGAAAATGGCAGCCTCTTTAGTTACCACCTGCAAGCAAAGAGGATCTTCTGAAAGGTGTTTTCTGTGCTTTATACATTATTTTCACAATGGCATTTCTCTTATTATTTCAAGGGAAACATATCTACTCCAGGGGCAATGGCCACAATTTGGAACTCTTGCAGCACGAACAGCTGTATAATTCATCAACAGGCCTCACAGGTATCGACCTACTACATTTTGGCCATAGGCTTTCAAAAGAGATCAATGCTTGCTTGTTTGTTTGTTTTAAAGTCCCTGAGCAACTTAACTAAGAATTTCATTCCAATTAATTTGGAATTCACTGAGTTTGCTGTTTGGCTGCCCCGGAATTTTTGGTTGAGGTGATCCCAAGATAAATGAAATCATTTGTAGAGAGCCGTTTATTAGATGGAGGCCCTAAAACTTGCATGAAATCAGTTTAGCTCTATTTAAATCCAAAATAGATCATTTTCAGTTGTTTTATGAGAACACATTAGCTTAATTTTTTATAGAGATATTTATTGTGTGTGGGAACATTAGTCTTCAGCTCTAGAGAGAAACAAAACTGTTCTGTATTTGTTGTCTGAGAGGATCTTCCTACCAGTGGCATGAATGTTCAGAATGTGTTCTAGATTCTTTGAAGTTCCTTGACAGTGGGTAAATTTGTGTCATTATTTAGGAGAGAAACCCTGGGACATTTTACATTGTAAAAACAACAGAGGAAATGAAATTGTAGGATATCAGTTAAAGGTCCGGGTTGTTGTTTTCACCTGGGAC